GTGTGGGTGTGGGTGTGGGTGTGTGTGGGTGTGTGTGGGTGGGTGTGTAAGTGTTAGTCGTGTGGGGATGCCCCCTTACGGGGGCGTACGTGTCTTTTGGTGTATTTGTCTGTCTGGTATATTGTTTGTCGGGGGTCGCAATTTTAAAGAAATGTATTTTAAAGTAATGCAAATAACTGATAAATAAGTAAAAACTTACCTGGGCATAACCCCGGGACAGGTACCTGCGACAAAGATGCCGACGGCCTCTATGCTTAAGCCGGGGATTAGGTCGGTGATTAAAAGGAAAGAAAGGGATTCTTTCCAGGTAGCCTTAATAAAGGCAGGTAGATCTTGCTCGTTGCAATGCACTTCACCTCACAAACAAACACGTCCGCTCAGCTCGGCTGTTCGCTCTGAACTGAGTGTATCATTGAAACAATATGGGACCTTGTCTTCCACATCTGTTGCGCTTCATGCTCTCCTGATACCAAAATTTTATTTTATGCGAATATATTGAGTAAAATCACATATTTTCATATAAATTTGGAGCAAGATAACAGGTCATTTTGCCGCACCTGAGAACAAAAAAGTATAGTCCATCGATTTTTTCAGAAATCTTGTCCTCAGAAAAATCTGAAAAAATTCCTCTATACTATAACGGTCCTGACCAATCCAAAACTTTCAAATTTTTATGGTTTTCGAGATTTTTAATTTTAGAACAAATATTGGCATTTATAGCAGAAATGGTTTCGTAGTGATGATACAACCAAATATACTAAACCGTGTATTACTGGTTGCCTATATAGTTCGATTTTACCAATATAATGTATAACTACATAATTTTTAAACGCTATGAAGAAAATAAAAAAGAAAAAATTAATAATTACACTATTTATTCATGTTTCAGTTAAATGTACAATAAATACATTTTTATATTGAGTCTAATTCTACAAGGCGCACAAAGTGAAACTAAATATGAAAAAGTTACGATTACAAGAATTCTCATTCTGAAAACTGTCTTTATTACATTTACCATCAGAATATAAGATACAGAAAAACTATCTTCGGTTGTAACACAATCATAAATAAGCTCTATATACAGGAATAAAAGTTGTGCTTATATACAAAAAAACTTCAGACTGTCTCAGGAGGAGTGGCAGAACCGCCGTCCGGCTTGCTCTCTAACGAGAATGGAGGGATTCTGCAGTCAAAGGTGTAACCATCTTCTCGTTCCATCCGAAAGGTTCCCCTATATACAAAAATTCTTATTAGAACACAAAAAATGCAATTTCCAGAAAAACATTAAAATAATTAAAGAAAACGTTGCAACAAGAGGTCGAAAACTCACCACATGTGGCCGCTGGGCGCCTGAAGGCTAACATGACTGCTATACTGGAAGGCCGGTAAAGTTCTCGTCAACGCCGGTTCTTGACCGACGACTCCCCTGCCTCTGACGGTTTCAAGAGTCCCCGAAAGTGAGAATATTCTCCAGTGTCTCTCTCTCAGCTGCACGCTCAACGAGCCTAGGTTTTCCAGCCTTATACAGTAACGCCACTGAAAAATGAATCTATTTTGAGAATAAAATTCGGTATGGATGTACGCGAGAAACGAGGCATGGATATGTCGCTCTACTTGAGAACTTGGAATTCATCTCGCAAAATCTAGTAAATTGTAATTAAGTTCCTTATTTTACAAGGCTACTGTAATTTTTTAACAGAATGATGGATTTTAAATTTTAATAAATGAGACCTCAAATGGTTCGTAAAAGTGTGTACAAGGTGTGGCAATAAAATAACCGGACTGGTGCTGCTACAGGCAAACAGCGAGCGCGTCACGGCAAGTTTAAACATGCCCGAGCTTGTTGAAGCTTCCCCCACCCTAAGCTCGATGGTCACAGTTGTATTTCGCTCAGCCTCTATGTAGCAATCGTTCGTTCATGTCCTCCTACTAGCATCTCATCGGAAAAATGCAAAGTGTTTAAATGGAGCAACGAGTTAACCTCAAGTTTCTTGTGAATATGGGAATACTGCCACAGAAGCTCATGCCATGTTAAAGGAAGTGAATGTTTATCGCTCACACGAGTTTTTGAGTGGTGTAAAATATTTAAGGAGGTACGTAAAACAACTGAAAATGATCCAAGACCTGGAGGACCCTCAACATCAAAAACGGATGACGACAATCAGAAAATTGGTAATTTGATCCGAAAAAATCGTCATCTCAGTGTCCGAGCTCTTGCTGAAATCTTAGGAATTAACAAAGAAAGTATCCGTCAGATTTTGCATAAATACAGAAAATTTGCGCAAAACTGGTAAAACTTCTCACTCCACAGCAAAAGGAATTGAGAATGAACATTTGATGAATGATGCAGAATTGTTAGACAGAATGATTATTTGTGATGAAACGTGGTTTCTTACCTATGATNGTAACCCCGCGAAGCCCACAGAATTGATTTTTAAGCATATTTAACGCTGCCGGGCACTCTACTATTAGACAGAATGATTATTTGTGATGAAACGTGGTTTCTTACCTATGATCATGAAACAAAGCGCCAATCGATGCATTGGGAAAGCCCTATCTCACCCCAACAAAAAAAGCAAAAATGAGCAAATAAAAATTTAAAGCCATGATGATCGTCTTTTTTGACAAGCGCAGAATCGTCTACGTTCAATGGATCCCCGAAGGTGAGACAACCAGCAAACATTATTACGTCGAGGTTCTGACCACCCTTCGTGAACGAGTGAGGAGATGAAAACAGATTTGTGGAAGAGCAAGTCCTAGATACTACACCAAAACAATGCATGCAACACATTCCGCTTTCACTGTAAAGCATTCTTTGCAAAATACGGCATCACTATATTGGAACACCCACCATACTCGCCCGATTTAGGCCCCTGTGACATATTTTATTACCTCCTAAGGTTAAATCGGAGCTTATAGTTGAGGAAATGAAACACTGAACCTCTGAAATCTGTGCAGTAGGATGGATCGTGATGCGGTTTTTTGCATTCGATTCGTTAGAGCGTCCATAAAGTTTGTGACCATATGTGATCAATGAGAAATGAAAATTAGATCGGTGCATAAGAAAAATGCATTTTTAAAATTGCATCTTGAAGAGTAAAAATATGAAAAATTTATAACTCGGAAAAACTCGGTGTTTCTAGGGTCGCTGAACACGACTATCATGACGGCGACGGTCTCCGAGGTACCTAGTGCCTAGGGTGGCCGGTTTCCACGTCGTCCCCTGGAGTTTTGTGGAAATTCATTATAAACTTAGCCGAAACTCGTTACCTCGGGGTTTTTGGGGTCACTGAACATGAATATCACGACGACACGGTCTCCCCGGTACCTAGTGCCCAGGGTGGGCGGTTTCCACGTCGTCTCCTGGAGTTTTGTGGAAATTCGTTATAAACTTAGCCAAAACTAGTTACCTCAGGGTTTTTGGAGTCGCTCAACACGAATATCACAACAGTAATGGTCTCCGAGGTACCGATGTCATCTTCATAAGCTTTATCGAATATCTAAATAAATTATCCAAAACATTTTTTTTTAATTTGGTGCTTTTAATACAGTTGGTAGCATTGATGAAATTTTAGGTAAGGACTGCAATCGCTGGCCGCTGCTTCCATGTTTTGCTCTTACATATATACTAAAATATACTCTTACACATACTAGTATACACAGAAATGCTCCAAGTTATACCACACACGTGAAATAAGAAAAATTAAAATTGTAAAGATATCTGAGTATAATATTTTTTTGAAAACTTGTATTTTTTGTAATGAACNAAAATACGGCATCACTATATTGGAACACCCACCATACTCGCCCGATTTAGGCCCCTGTGACATATTTTATTACCTCCTAAGGTTAAATCGGAGCTTATAGTTGAGGAAATGAAACACTGAACCTCTGAAATCTGTGCAGTAGGATGGATCGTGATGCGGTTTTTTGCATTCGATTCGTTAGAGCGTCCATAAAGTTTGTGACCATATGTGATCAATGAGGTCACATAGGGTCATAAACTTTCTGGACGCTCTAACGAATCCAATGCAAAAAACTGCATCACGATCCATCTTACTGTACCGATTTCGGAGGTAAGGCTTTATTTCTTGGACTACTAAGGGGGCAAGATTTGACAGTGTGGAAGCGATGAAAGCAAAAGCGATGGCAGTAGTAAAAAGTTTTGATACTAGTCTAGTTATTTTATTGCCACACCTCGTATAACAGTGGAGCTACTTAAATTGAGTTTACATTCAATTGCAAGTAGAGCCGTTCTTATAAAACCAAATCTGAAATGCGATGAATTTTGAGTTACCAGCACTGTGAATTAATTTTGGGAGATTTTTTTTATAAATTCAAGGATTCCGGGTTGAAATAACAACTAATCTTTTGATGTTCACCACCTATCGTTAATATTTTCCATATCTTCGTAAGATTGAAAGCGCTGCTTAACCATTCCGTGTTCCATGGATCCAAGCAAGTAGTTATCCGATGGAGCAATATCTGGTGAATATGGCGGATGGGGTAAAACATCCTATTTCACCGTTTCTAAGTATTTTTTGACTTCATGAGCAACGTGTGGTCGAGCGTTGTCAAGTTGAAAAATTTCATTATCGAATTGCTCAAATTGTGTCCGTTTTTTCTTCAATGCATGGTTCAAACGCATTAATTGTGTATGGTAGCGTTCACCAATGATGATTTCATTCCGTTAAAGCAGCTCACAGTACACAACACTAAACTGATCCCACCAAATACAGAGTATGAGCTTCGAACCATAAATATTTAGCTTTGCCATCGATATTGACGCAAGACCAGGCAAACTCCACGAATTTCTATGATTAAGGTTTATCGTATCTTATTCTTGCAAAAGACCTTTTCATTTTTGCCCTTGACGCACAATATCATGTGAGAAATCATCGTTCAATATCTCTCGGCTTCAGTTCGTACGGCACCCATTTCCCTTGCTTTTGAATCATACCAAGTATATTTAAATGTTTGGAAACTGTTGTGCAATCAACATTCAACGATTTAGCAAACTCATTTTCTGTTTGGTTGAGTAATGCTTCCAATTTCTCATCTTCAAACATTTTCGGTTGACCAGGCCGTTCTATGTCAATTGTATGGAAATCACCAATTCTAAAACGTTGAAACCAATATTCACACATTTTTATCAATGGAGTTCGTTCACCGTAAGTTTCCAACAGCAAACAATGACTTTTAGCAGCACATTTCTTTGAATTAAACAGGAAAAGTAATACTTCAAATGGTGTTTTGTTGGATCTTAATTTGATATCTAATGACAAAGCTTCGAAGTGAATATAGTTATAGAAGGGTCCGATGCGAAACAGCATAAGTTACGCCGTCTATTGTAAACCCGTCAAAATTTATTCACAGTTCTGGCATATCGCAATCATTTCGAAATCCGGTAAGTTGGAACTTGGAACATTTCTTTCTGTGTCCTCAAGATGAATCTAAAAAGCATTTATTTCCTTCTCTACAATGGTCTGCCTACCAAAGTTAGTCAGTAAAGTAATTTCGAGATCCAAATTGGGACTATCTCAGGTTTTAAAGTTAGTTCATTAGTATGGTGTTAGATGTGGCTCAATTTTAGTTCTCAATCGGTACCTGGCTGAAAGAGCATTTGAAAGAGCATTTCGTGTTTTTGTTATATCTCTATGACACCTGTCACAAATTTTATATATCAAAACTATAAATTTATGGCCAGAGATATAAGGCCAAAAATTTTACTTCTCTATTTTGTAGCCAATGTGATTTTGATACATTTCGGCGGCAACAAAGAAAAGTTCCAAAATTTTTCTTTTTGGCAGATACCTTAGACAAAAGTGGGAGATATATACAAAGTACGTGTCACATAAATTTAATTGCTACTCAATGCCTAGTAGCACAAAGAAGAACAACTAGCAAAGAACGATCTACTAACCACAGCATATACAGGGTGATTCATTAACAATGGGAAAGTTGAAAGCTGAAGATACTACACGTGAAATGGTGACCATTGGCGCAAACATGCCTTATCCGAAAGTTGATAGTTTCGGAAATACAGGGTGTTGAAAGTTAAAATTTTAAATCGTTTTTTTGCGATTATTCTGAAAATATGTAGGTTAGGAACTTGAAAATTTGTGAAACTATATTTTTTTAGGCGACGAATAAGATGCGTGTTGTAATTTCAGCATTGCTCATAGAGGGCGCCACTTACGACCAATTTTACC